CATGAGAACTAAAAACATATGTCTTAAAAAAATGTATGATACATAAATGTTCATAGCAGCATTACTCACAATAACTAAGAAGCAGAAACAATTCAAATGCCCTCAACTGGTGACTGAATAAGCCAAATGCAGTATATATATAAAACAGGATACCATTCAGCAATAAAAAGGATGAACTACTGATACATACTGTATCATCAATGAACCAAACAAAAACACTTGCTCAGTGAAAGAAGCCAGACATAAAAGACACATGAATCATTTACAGTCAGCCCTCTGTATCCATGGGTCCAGTGGAAAATATTTGGGGAAAAAAAACAATAAATAATATACCAACAAAAAATATAAATCTTTTAAAACAGTGTAACAACTATTTACATAATGTTTACACTGTTTGGGTATTTTAAGTAATCTGGAGATAATTTAAAGTATACAAGAGAATATGTGTAGTTTACAGGCAAATACACCATTTTCCATAAGGGACTTAAGCATCCAAGGATTTTGGTATCCATGGGGGTCCTGGAACCAATGACCCATGGATACCGAGGGGTAACTATCTGAAATGTCCAGAAAAAGTAAATTTGTAGAGAAAGAGGATTAATGGTTACCTGGGACTGGGAGTGGGAATGGGGAGTGACTGCAAACAGGCCAAGGCATCTTTTTTTTAGGTCTTGTAAATGCTCTACAATTGGATTGTGGTGACAGTTGCTCAATTCTGTAAAGTTACTAAAGAGCATTGAAATGGGTGAATTTTATAATACGTAAAGTACATTTCAATAACATTGTTTTTGTTTTTTTTTAAGAGATGGGGTCTTGCTATGTTGGACTCAAACCACCAGGCTCAGGTGATCTTCTGCCTCAGCCTCCTGCGTAGCTGGAACTACAGAAACACACCACTGCAAGTGGCTTAAACCTGTTTTTTTGATTTTAAAGAAAAATCAGTGTCACCAGATCAAACCTTTCCAAAGCTCTGCTCCTGACTAGAGAACTGCAGTGTGGCCTCCAGAATAACATGTTCACAGTCCTGCCTGGCATTCAGGCCCTGAGTCTGGCCTTGTCACCTGCCAGATCCTCAAGCATCCTGTCCTCCTGTGGCTGCCAAGCATGTGGGCTTTGGAGTCAGAAACTCTGAGGTTCTAGCTCTGTGATCTTGGGTTACTTGGCCTCACTGAACCTGTTTCCTCACTTCTGAGATGGGGATAATGACCTCTCACAGATGAGCATGTGGAATTTCTGGGGTGATGCTCTGAATACAGCGGGCACAGTGCTTAGCACAAAGTGAATATGCACACTCTTCACAGGGCTGGCTCAGGCCACAGTCAACGTCTCCTCCTGAGAGGCACTGCCTGGCCATCCCACCTCAAGTAGGTAGCCCCAGTAGCCTTTGCACCCTTTTTGTTTCCTCCTTAGCTCTTGAAGCTCATTGAGTCTTTTGCCTGTGTTTCTTCCTTTCTGGTCAGTTCTCTCTACTGGGCTGAGGACTCTATGATGACAGGGTCATTGGCTTTGTCCCTCATTGTCTCAGCAAGACCAAGACCAGTAACATGAAGCCACTGAACATTCACTGAGGTAAGGAATAACTGACGGCTGCAAGTGCAGTGCTCTGGCACACGGCCTCTCTGGCACTGGCACATTAGGGGACTCACTTCTGTGTCTGACTACATCCTTCCCAATCTCCCCCTCCGCCGTGGTCCAGAATCAGCCTCATGGGAGCAATGCATGATGGTAAAGTCAATCAAGCCTGGAGAGGGTAATGAGTCTGGAGTGATTGGAGCAGGGGTGGGCTCAGTGGTGGGAAAGGGGAAAAGGGTGGTGAACAGTGAAGCAACCAACATCAGCTAAATCACCAAATAGAGTGGCTCACACTGAATGGAGGAGAGGGAAAGCAGACACACACAGGACGTGACTACCATGTGTGCTTTGTCTCACTGGAGGATGAGGTTAAATGTACTGGTTGAAACAAAATCTTTACCTATTTCACACGTTTTCTCTGAAAACTGGAGTTGACTATAACTGCAGCATTTCGTATTAATTAAATTTCTTTTACCATCCATGGAATTATGGTTTGAACACACTTTGTGAATTTATGCAAATAAGTATGTAAACTAGCAAGACCTAGCACTTTTTTTTTTTTTTTTTGAGACAGTGTCTCACTCTGTCACCCAGGCGGAGGGCACTGGTGTAATCTCAGCTCACTGCAACCTCTGTCTCCTGGGTTCAAGGATTCTCCTGCCTCAGCCTCCCAAGTAGCTGAATTATACAGGTGCATGTCACCACACCCGGCTAACTTTTTTATTTTTGGTAGAGACAGGGTTTCACCATGTTGGCCAGACTGGTCTTGAACTCCTGACCTCAGGTGATCTGCCCACCTCGGCCTCCCAAAATGCTAACAAAACAGGCATGAGCCACCATACCTGGCCACTAACACTTAATCTTAAAGGGACTAGTACACTATCTAGAACCAGGCCTCAGGAATTAAATACAAATGGTCATTACGAATATTCAACTTGATCTAAAGAAGCTGGGGCAGATCTTCTTTGGCATCTACCTCCCATTAAATTAACCAATTTGTTCACTTTGGCAATTGTTTTGTTGATGTGGCAATCTTTTTCACTCCCTTGCCTAAAGACAAGGTGAATTCCTCAACCCTCAAGTAACTTTGCTAACAGTAAAAGCCCCTACACCATAACACTTCATTACCATCACCTCCTTTGTTCAGCCTTCCTCTTTCAAACCCAAGTAGAGTGAAGGATGCGGCTCTCATAACATGGGGCTGTACACCTCACTGTGCACTTCTGGACAAGTCACATAGCCTCTCAGATTAGTTTGCCCAGCTGGTAAAGGAAGTAGTCACCAAAGTTCCTTCTAGTTTTACTAGTCTGATACAATTAAGTGGGGCACCAGCATCCTGTCAGGACAGGTACAGGTATTGTCACAAAATGTTCAGGCTGCCCTGCATATACATCATGGGGAGAGGGGAGATTAGAGTAGTGAGAAAAAGTTGTTTTTTGCACCCGAAACATGTGCATTAAAGTCCCAGAAGTTACTCAGGTTAACACCTTGGGCAAATTCCTTAACCTCTCTAAGCCTGAATCTCCATCTTTAAATAAAGAGAATTTACATTTTGCAGAAGTATTTAAGAGAACTAAAAATAAAATGTACTTGTCTTATATAATACTCAAAAAAGAAGTTTCCAATCAACTTGGAAGACGGTAACCTTGCCCAGGCACTCCCCTGAACCTCTGAAGACTCCAACTCAACTTTCCAACATTTCCCAAAACAAGAGACCAAATCACAAGGGTGAGAGCACCCAAACAGACCCAAGCATATCTTTCTAAATTCCAATTCAGGTTCCTCCCTCTCGGCCTTCCAACACAAGCCATCTCCTCCCCATTTAATCCTTGCTACAAGTGAGGTCAACAAAACTATACGACACCTAGCAAGCACCAAATGTGTCAACCACTCTGCTAGGCTAAGAACAGAGGCCCCCACAAAGCACTCTTTGTGTTTCCTTAACACTTTCGCAGACATCATCTTATCCTAGGCAGTACCTAGGATACATACACATCCTTTTTTTTTTTCTTTTTGTAGCCATTGAGGCTCAAAAGAGTTTTTCACTCAAGGTCACACAGCTAATAAGCACCTGCCAGACCTCCTGAAGTCTTTCTGAGCCACCTCCCTAATTCCTCCTTAATTAACTAATTCACCTGCACCCAGCTCTGTGCATTTCATTTAAACCTGGTCCCTTCTACTGGGTTCATTCATTTCATCTCTCCACAGTTACTTACAAAGCATCCACAGGTGTAGACACAGATGTAGGAGGAGGCAGAGCACAACAATATGCCCTGGAGTGGGCTTGTTTCAATTCCAGCTCTCCCATTTGCTATTTACATGACCTTGGATCAGTTCCTTCACCTCTCAGTGCCTTGGCTCTCCTTGATGTATAATAATGAGCTAACAGAATTCTGCTGCTCTCATAGGACTGTTGAAAATTAAATCAGTTCCTTATAAAGGGTTTAGTCCAACGCATGGCCCCTACACTGGAATAAGAGCTGCTTTTATTCTTCTGGGTTCTGGTACAGTCTTCAATCAGACAGAAACCTTAGCCTCAACAAGCTTACACTCTAGCGGAAAGCACAATCAACAAGTAAACAATTATCAATGGAAGCTTCACATTGTAATGAGTGCTATGAAAATAATAAATCTGCGACAGGGTGGAAGGTTACTTCAAATTGGGTGGTCAGGAAAGGATTCTCAGGTGATATCTCGGCTACACAAGAATTACAAGAGCAAGCAGGATGCAAGGAGAGCTGAAGGAGAGAAAACAGCCGGCGCACAGACCCTTTACTGGGCCAGCAGCAGCCTCCGGAAAACACGGCGGTCCTGAGGCTGGGGACCAGGTGTGAGTGCTACGAGAGGGAAATAGCCCGAGATGCCGTCCCAGAGGTCGGCGGGCACCAGCCAGCTTTGGAACCAGGGAAGGCATCATCCAAGCACGCTAGGAGCCCACCGGAGGATTTTAGGCAGGGAAGGGGATCGGATCTGAGCTAAGATTTTTCCAGACCCCGCAGCTGTGCTGTGGAGAACAGACAGGCGGGGGAGAGCGGAGTTCCCAGTCAAAGCCCAGGTGGGAGGTACCGCGTACCCAGAACCGGAGGCGCGCACCTGGGGGCGGGGGGGGGCACGGGGCTGCCAGGCTGGGCGCAAATTCAAGAGAAGTAAAAACTAAGCCGACCGGAGAGGGGACGTGGCCCAGGCGTCTCTCGTGTCCTGGCGGCCTCGCACCTTGTCCCGCTATCCACTCCTTCCCTGAAGCCGGTGTCGCGAAGCTCCAAGGCTGCCAGCCTCTGGCTCGCGTACCGGCGCAGCTTAGTCCTGGCCTGAACCCCGGCGTCTCCCAAACCCCACGCCCCTCACGCGTGGAGGGAGCCCTGGCCCAGCGCTCCGCCCCGCACCTCCCCCGCCCGCGTGCCCGCCCCGGCCCAGGCGGCGCTGCTCACCCGGACGCCCTGCAGCACCCGGACCCGCTCCTCCTCGTCCACTCCGAAGGACACCCTACGGCCCTCGCTGCTCTCCGTACTCCCCATGGCGAGCTGCTGGCGAGCAGGTAGCCACCCGACCTGGGACCCGGCTCCGGAGTAACCGGGCCAACAACGCTTTCCAGGACTCGTGCGGCCGCGGCACCCGCCAACAAAATCACGTTCTATTGGCCGCCGTCGGAGGCTTCACCAATCGGATGGCTCGGATTCGCGATGCCTTTTGGGGGTTGTAGTCCTTCCGTTTGGAGGGGCGGGGGCGTGGCGGTCTGCGCCTGCAGAAGTGCGTTAGGCTGAGGCCAAGGATAGGTACCAAGGACAGGGACACGTTCTCACTTTGGGAGTTCACCCAAAAGCAGCTCACCGTTGAGGGAGTTCACCGTTGAGGGAGAGCCGAGAGTGATGTTCTGAGGCCAGTAGACGCTGAGACGGCCAAGGCGCTCATCTGGAGGCAAATTTCTGAGGGTTCACCACTCCATTCATTCAGCAAACACTTATAGAGCAGCAGGGGCTGAGCGCCAGGCGAGCAAGGACCAGACCCTCGCATTACAGTACCCTTCTAAGACAGCGAGTGTCCCAACCTTGTGAGGTTTACAGTGCAAGGGAGGAAACAAGTGAAAAACCAAACATGCAGCCATGTAAACTGACAGTACACAGAAAACTGCATGGTGATGCCACTAGTGAAATGAACAGAAGGAGGCCTCTTTTAATTTCAGTGACCAGAGCAATCTCTGAAGAAGCTTTGAACTGAGCCCGAGGGAGAGTAGGATTTATACAGGAAAAGGTAGGGGAAGACGTTTTCTGGGACTCTCAAGAAGGAAAAGATAAAGAGCGTCCAGCCCATGGCTGGAAAATGAGAAGAGGGCAGAGAAGCAGTAAGGACCCAAATCATGTCGCGTCTTGTGAGGCAGGGTCTGTATGTGGGTTTTACTCTAAATGCCGCGGGAGGACAGGGAATGGTCCTAAGGATTTAGGAGGCATTGCCCAAGGAGGGTACATACCATGCGTGGAGTGCAGTGTGCCAGGCACTGTGTGTAGGCTTCTTACACAGGACCCTACGTGTAAGGGAGCAGGCAGATGATTGCCATTCATAGACACTGCTACCTCCAACTAAGCCCCTTTTTGTCCCTCTGATGTGCTGAATGGCTTTGATCTGCAAAAGTGTGCCTGAAACCGAGCTGGGCAACACTAGATGGAGCTCCTTTTGGCAACTTGGAAAGAAAGGGGTGAGGAGGAAAGGATGAATGAGAAAGAGCAGTAAGGCTCTGAGACTGAAAATAGCTCAGTGCAGAGTGAAGAAGCCAGTCAACATCCCAGAGATGGTGTGATCAGAGAATCTTTAGAAACAAAAGTATCTGCTAGTTTCATTCAAAATACTTAATTGGCACGCCCCACTCCACCCCCTCTGTCCTCCACTTCTTCCCTATAAGCAGGGCCAGTGTAGGGGATTCTGGTGCAAGTGGTTTCCTAAGGAAGTACCTCAGAAGATAGGAAGTGAGGAAGACAGGCTAAGAGGGGTAAGGAGTGGGGGGCACAGGGAAAACTGAGTAAGGGTGTGGTCAAATCTGGCCCTGGGCTTTCCTTTGTCTCCTTTCCTTGGAGGTTTATGATTACTGATTCAATCTCCTTACTAGTTATTGGTCTGTTCAGATTTCCTGTTTCTTCAAGATTCAGTTTTGATAGATGGTATGTTTCTGTGAATTTGTCCATTTCTCCTCCTAAGTTATCTAGTTTCTTGGTGTATAATTGTTCATAGTAGCTGATGATGATCTTTTGTATTTCTGTGGTATCAGTTGTACTATCTCCTCTTTCATTTGTACTTTTGTTAATGTGAAGTCTCTTCTTTCTTGATTAGTCTAGCTAAAGGTTTGTTAATTTTATTGATCTTTATTGTTGATCCTTTCTGTTGTTTTTCTAGTTTCTATTTCTGCTCTCATATTTTTTATTTCCTTCAGTCTGCTGACTTTTGGGCTTACTTTGTTCCTCTTCTAGTTCCTTGAAATATAAAATTAGGTTGTTTTGTGTCTTTTTTTTCTTAATGCAGATATTTCTCGCTGTAAACTTCCCTCTTAAAAATGTTTCTGTTGCATCCTATAAGTTGTACCTTGTGTTTTCATTTTCATTTGTCTCAAGATACTTGTTTATTTCACTTTTGATTTCTTCTTTGGCTCATTGGCTGCTCAAAAGTGTGTTTAATTTCCACACATGTGTGAATTTTCCAGAATCTTCCTATTATTGATTTCTGATGACAAATTATTCAAAAAGAAATTAAGAAAACAATCCCACTTAAAATAACACCAAAAAGAATAAAATATGAATAAATTTAACCAAGGAAGTGAAAGATTTACACAAAAAAATTGTATACTAAAAATTGTAAGACACTGTTGAAAGATATTGTAGGAGACATAAATAAGTAGAAAGATAGCCCATGTTTATAGATCAGAAGAACTAATATTGTTAAAATGGCTATACTACCCAAAATAATCTACACATTCAATATAATCATTATCAAAATTCTAATGGCATTTTTCACAGAAATAGAAAAAACAATTTTAACATTTCATCTGGAACCACAAAAGACCCCAAATAGCCAAAGCAATCTTGAAAGCTGAAGGCATTATATTTCCTGATTTCAAACTATATTACAAAGCTATGGTAATCAAAAGAGTATGATACTGGCATAAAAACAGACACATAAATCAATGCAGAAAAACAGAGAGCCCAGAAATAATCCCATGCATATATTTCTACTAATCTTTGAGATCGGTGCCAAGAATATTCACACTATGGGAAAAGACAAATCTCTTCAATAATTGGAGCTGGAAATACTGGATAACCACATCCAAAACAAGATAATTGGACCCTTGTATTACACTATACATGAACATCCATTCAAAATGAATTGAAGACTTAAATGTGAGATCTGAAACCTCAAAACGCATAGAAGAAAACATAGGCAGAAAGCTTATAATTGGTCTTGATGATAATTTTTAGCCCATAACACCAAAAGCACAAACAACAAAAGTAAAAATAGACAAATGGTACTACATCAAACTAAAAAGCTTCAGCCAGGGAAATAATCAGCGAACTGAAAAGGCAACCTACAGACTGGTAGAAGATATTTGTGTACCATGTATCTGATAAGTGGTTAATATCCAAATATACTGTATAAGGAACTCACAAAACTCAATAGCAAACATAAATAAAAACCTGATTAAAAAATGGGCAAAGGACTTGAATAAACATTTTTCCAAAGAAGACATGTAAATAGCTAACAGGCATATGAAGAGTGCTCAACATCACTAATTATCAGAAAAATGCAAATTAAAACCATGGTGAGGATCACACGTCACCACACCTGGCTAATTTATATATATAGTAGAGATGGGGGTCTTACTATGTTGCCCAGGCTGGTCTCCAGCTCCTGGGCTCAAGCAACTCTCCCAACTTGGCCTCCCAAAATGCTGAAATTGCAGGTGTGAGCCACTACACCTGGCCACAAGCCCAACAGCCACCAAGTATTCAGAGGCCACCAAGACATCTGTGCTGAACTAATTCAGCAAAACGAGTGAGAGCCAAGGGTGACCTTGAGACTCTGGTGGCCTCACTCCCACTATGAAGAATCCTTGGGGAGTCTTGGAATTCCATAGACTTACAGCAGCATAGGTAAGGTTCATGACAACCCAGTGTGTTCTGTATCCCCGCCTCACAGATGGCTACAAAACCGAGTGGCAAGCAGGTGAAGATAATGCAACATTACTGATCTAAAGGAGGAGGAGGATAAAGGCAGTGGCAAGGGAAGCAGAAGAAAGGAGGGGAAAGGAAGCAGAGCTTTTTGAGCACCTTTTTTGTGCCAGGCTCCAGGACACAAGCACACATGATTTTCATGTAGTTAATCCAGAACCAATTCATTGAGTCCTCAAAATCATCCTGGAGTTTTATTACCCCTTTCTAAGGCCCAGAAAACTGAGGCCCTGGGGAAGGAAGGTGTTGTGACAGGTCTGCTTGTGGCTACCTGGCACCCAGTTTCCCCTTCCCAGCAACAGAACCCCAATTCCCTGAAGTGCAGACATGTGCCCAATTAGAAAAAAATTGCCTCCTAGGCTCCCAGTGGCCAAATGTGGGGCAATTTGAACATCAAGAAGAACAGAAAGCCAGCTAACCAGTACAACGGGAATTTGAGATTTTTTAAAGTGCCATTTCGCAATCCTCAGAGGATTAACTGAATGAGGCAAAAATCATCAAAGGCTACTAAAGCCATTGGATGGAAAAATTGTTGGGGTACAGGCTATTCACCCGATATGCTGGGATTACCTTGGCCTCCCAAAGTGTTAGGATCACAGGCCTGAGCCACCATACCTGGCCACAGGGCCCAACAGCCACTGAGTATTCAGAGAGCCACCAAGCTATCTGTGCTTATTTTTTCCTGCACGAAAGGAAATTGGGTTTCTGTTGCAGGGAAGGGGGAACTTGGTCCTAGGCAGCCGTGAGTGAAACTGTCACAACACCTTCCCTGCCACTTCGCCACAGATTTATTTATTAAAAAGGGAAAACCATATTACAATGATAACACCTGGCAGTCACTACCTTAACCAATTACCAAATTTAGCATCACAAATACTGGGACCATCTGAGACAATGTCCCTCCCCAAGTGATATAATTAGGAACACATAACCTCTCCAGTGCAGTATTCTCGTCAAAAGTGTAACCTGAATCTAATGGTGAGGACATAGACAACCCCAGAAACATCCTAGGAAACAACTGGCCTGGACTCTTCCAAAAGGTCAATGTCATAGAAAATAAAACAAAAAATGTGGCTTTAAAAAGGCAAAGCCAGGTGAGGTGGCTAACACTTATAATCCCAAACTTTGGGAGACTGAGGTGGCAGGATCATTTGAGGCCAGGAGTTCACGGCTAGCCTGGGCAATGTAGCAAGATCCCATCTCCAAAAAATATGGCTTATAGTACATTTAATGGTTTTAAATTTATTAGTCTATTCTAGTGAAAGAGAGGAAGAGAGGGAGAGAGTGACAGAGAGAATGGGAAAGGAAGATTCTTCTTTACAAAAAGAGAATGCCAGCTAACCAATACAAATGGAATTTGAAATTTTTTAATGGCCATTTTGAAATCCTCAGATAAT